AAACTTAAGAATGGTTTTTAAATTTTTAAACGACTGGGGGGAAAAAAATCAAAAGACAAATAATATTTTGTGACACATGAAAGCTGTAAAAAATTCAAATTTTACTTCTATATATAAGTTTTTATTGGAGCACAGCCATGCTCATTTGTTTACAAATTATCTATGGCTGCTTTCCTGCTGTTAGATTTGAGTGAAACAGTTGCAACAGAGTCTACAATGGCCTGCAAAGCCTGAATTCGTTACTATCTGGACCTTTACAGAAAATTTTGTTGATTTCTGTCCACCCAACCCTGATGGGTGCACAGAAAAGGCAAGATCAGTTCCATTATCCAAAAAAAAAACACTCATTAGGAGAAAAAAACTTCTTGGATTAGTTGCTCATTGTATTAATTAATATTAATATGTATTTTCTTAAAAGGTAAGATTTGGACTGGATGTGGGGCTCATGCCTATAATTCCAACATTTTGGGAGGCTGAGGTGAGAGGCTTGCCTGAAGCCAGGAGTTCAGGACCAGCCTGCGAAACATACCAAGAACTCTCATCTCCACAAAAAATAAAACTAGCTGGGTGTGGTGGTATGCACTTTTAGTCCCAGCTACTCAGGAAGGTGAGGCAGGAAGATCACTTGGGCCCAGAAGTCTGAGGTTACAGTGAGCTATGATAACACCACTGCAATCCAGTCTGTGACAGAGTGAGAGCCTATTTCTTAAAAAAAAAAAAAAAGGAAAAGAAAGAAAGAAAAGAAAAATATTTGTAGTAGACAGCAGCAATATCAAAAAAACTTTCAAAGCACTATCTTAAATTATAAATCTTGTATCTATTAGGTCCTCAGTACTCATTGAACAAATCGACATATTGATCAATGGATGGATGGGTGAGTGGGTAGATGGGAGGATTCAACATTTACTGAGAGCTAACTGTGGACTAAATGCTATGGCAAGTCCCACCATGGGTTGGGAGGGGCCAAGGAAAGAAAATCTGTCCTTAAAAAGTCTCTGAGTAAGAAAATGGATATAAACCAGTAACTCACAAAAGAAGAAATACAAATGATAAAAAAAGATTTTTAACATCACTGGTAATCAAAAGTATATTAATTTAAATAGCAATAATATTCCCTTTTTTAACCCAGAAAACTGAGTATTTTTTAAAATGACAATACATGGTGTCAGTATACCTAAAAAAAAAAACACTTTATTTCCATAGAACACAGATAGAGGGATACATTTCTGTAACCTTTATGGTAGGCACAATGATTGTGTAGATCAAAAGACTCTACCTTTGACTCAGTAATTCCACTTCTAAGGATTATTGCCAAGAAAATAATCACGGATATGCACAAAAATTAACAGATAATCACAGCATTGTTTATACTAAAGAAAAAGAGAGAAAAGGAGGAAAAAAAATCTAATGCCCAACAATTCAAAAATGGGGATTAAGAAAACTATGATGCAATCACACACAATGGTAAATTGTGTGATGATTAAAAATTGATGATTTGAGAACACTGTATTTTGATATGGAAAGCTGTTCACAATAACACTGATAAGTGGAAGGGAAGCAAGGTATAAAATCAACTTGCAAGAGAATTAAACTCATTTTTTAAAATCGATATTTACATTTAAAAATTTTCTAATGATATAAGCTTAAATAAAAATAATTGTCTCAATTATTTCTTTTTATATCTTTGCTCTTTTATTTTCTATAATAAACACATCATATGTTTAGTTTTTTAAATAATAAAAAGAATTAAAGATATCCTAATAAAATGGAGGACTTCAGGATGCTCACCAACTAGAATAAAGGAATAAAATCATTCATTCATTAATAATTAGTTGATTAATTAATGCAAGCTCTTATACTTGTTCAACAAATGTCTATTTCACATCTATGTGCCAGACACTGTTACATATACGATGGCTTCATCAGCAAACAAAATAGACAAATCACTGCCTTCACGGAGATTCCATTCTAGTGTTTCACATGTCTCATAATCTCTGAACTCCCACATCAGCAAGCACAATGCTGGGCACATGGGACAGTCCTGCGTTTGAAGTTAATGTTGGTTCATTTCCTAACAAAAGAATTCATAATGGCGAGCTTCCCAGTATATTTACTAAATGCTTTTATCATCACAAGAAAATGTCTGCACCAAATACAGCTTTTCATGAAGCTGTCCAGGGTGCAGAGTAGAGTAAACCTAGAATACCAAAATCCTGTATGTGAACACAGGTTTCTGAGGCAATTCTGACTCAGTCCCCAGCCACTTGAGGAGAGGGGGGAATTGTCAGATAATATTTCATGAATAGCTGGGCTTAAGTTACTTGAACCAGCTGGGACTTTTCTTAAGCTACATTTTCCTCCGGCCAAAATATCCTCACGGCTGAAGCTGCCTGTTCAGTGTCACGCCACAGAGAAATGGGTCTTTCTGTTTTCCTCATAACTGCAGTCGCTGCTTCTTTTTCAGGCTAGGGAAACCCACGGACCTGGTATTCTGCTTATGTAATAACTGGTTCCCTGCTGAGGTAAGCCACTAAGAGACCTGCACTCCATTTCAGAAGACAAATTTTTCTCCTTTTGGGCCAAAGTCATTCATAAAGTATTGACTCAAAATAAGTACACAGGGGTGCTCTCAGTTTCCCAGAAGTCCTGAATCACTAACATGTCAACTCACTATGATTTTCTTCCAAATGCAGCAATGAAAAGTTTTGGCAGTTTCCAGTGGATACCAAATCCTATCAACCATCAACAATTGCAAGGGTCTTTGAAATTAATGCCATCATAGGACTGTCAGGGAGAAGTTGCTGAAAACCGAAGAGGGAGGCAAGAGGGTGGACTCATTCTGTGTTCAAATCTCACCACCAGTACTTCCTCCCTGGGTGAACCTGGGAGGCAAGGAACTTGACTTTCTGAAGCTCATCAATAAACTAAAGATAATGATAGCATGGCTAAATCTGAGAATTATGCAGAGCACCTTGCATTAATTGAGGTACAATGTGAATACTTAATTCACCAGTAGTTCTAGTGCTTCCTCCCCACAGCATAATCTTGAGAATAAATAGACTGTTGGTATGGAAAGTGAACATAAAGTCCTTCCCTTCTCCTTGCTCCCAGGAGCTCCTTGTGGAGCACTAGCAAGCACAGCTTGTTAAATAGAAGCCTGTAACAGAGATAAGTAACCCACTACAATTGCCAGAAGGGCTTAGGTGTCAGAGATTTGAATTCAAGTCCCAACTCTGCCACTTCCTAGCTCTACTACCTCACACAGGTTACTGAACTTCTCCATTCCTCATCTGTTTCCCCATCTGCACAACAGCAATAAAAACAATACTTATCTCTAAGGCTCGTTATAAGGATGATATGAGAAAAGGACTTTTAAAGTCCTAACACTATCACTACACAACCACTCCAGGCAGGGGGATGCATGCAGAACCTTACCTGACCTTTGAATTTTACTGTCAAGCCTTGGTATGCTCATTCTTGTATCCACATGTTCCCCAAGGCCATAAAAGAACTAATTCCAGCTAAACTCAAAATTTACATCAAACCTGAATCTGCACAGAGCAGAAATGACTGCAAGGTAGCAGAGAAAAAAGAGAAGGCAAAATTTACTTTTTTCAGGTGCTAGACTAGAATTTCAGTTCTACTGGGGCATTTGCCTTTTCCTAATCTCCCAAGAGTCCTTCGTAAACTAAAAGCAAAACAAAACAAACAATGAAAGCCTTCTACAGTACAATCACAACCTCACTTTCCAAAGTCCATGTTACTGAACACTGTTCTTTGTGGCCTGCAGCAGTACAGGGGGATAGATTTCATGAAACAGCCAAACAAGTGTATTAGAAAATGCTGCCAGATTGCAGGGGTTGCAAGCAGGGCAGGGAGTGCCACCAGCCTCATGACGTGCCTTATAGAGATCACTGAAACATTACAATGGCTTCCAACGTGTCACCCCGCTTAGCAATTCCACCCTTGGTCCTCGCCAACTTGCACTTCAACCAAAATGATATCTGATATTTTGACACCTTATCAATGACGTTTTACTGAACAAGTTGGAACTTTTGGCTCAACAAGTTCACCACCTTTGTTTTATTAAAGGAAAGAGGAGTTTTGAGTTTCAACCATGCTTCTTGATGCCTGCAAAGTATTCCGTGGTAATATTTGTAAAAATCTTTCAGAACTGGACCATTTCATGTATCCAAATCCTACTTAGGTCTCAAGGTGTACCTGAGTTTCCCCATTTCCTAATTCTAAGAGATATCTTTTATTGCCAACTACTATGTTAGGAGATTTACATACATTATGTAAATTTTATCCTCACAATAAGACTATGGTGCAGGTATTAATAACCCCACTTTATGATGAAAACTTGATGATCAAAGAGGCTAATTTGTACAGCTACTGAGTGACAGAACTGGTATTTGAAGGCAACTTTAAGTTCCAGGCATTTTTTATTCCTCCAGCCAACTATTTCAATCAACAGGTTTTTTTTTTTTCTCTCTCTACTGCCTTTCTGTAGCAATTCCTACCTATGCCACGTCCTCAGTTTTCGGCAGCATCCTCTTCATGGGCTCCTGAAGAATATTACATTTCTAATGGAAAGAACTCTATCCATACCTTTTTCCATCTCCCTCACAACAGTAACTGCTGCAAGGATGTCAAGAGTTTAAGAAACTTACCTGACCTGCTCAAGATCACACTCAGCAATGAAGCAGGTTTAAGCATAAATATGCCATAAAGCACCGTTGTTTTTCAAGTTTTACCCCTTACAAAAGGTATGTACCTGCTCTCATTAGTCAGTGTCTACAGAAACCACCTTCTTCCCAGGAAGAAAAGATGTCATTTGTGTAGGTCTAAGGAGGCCATAGATGATCCTACCATAAAAAGAAAACAACATTAACCAACTGATGATCCAAAGGTAGTGTTTGGATTTTCTTCTAAGCTGGAGAAGAAGATGTGAATCAGTCATGAGAAACCAAAAGCCACAGAAACTTTCTATGACATTGGGGAGAGCAGAACGTCTCCCCATTCCCTGGAGACTGTCTGATGAGGATCCTCAGAGGAATGAGGTCTAGTCCCAGACAATCTTCAGAAGGTTCTGGTAGCCTTCAATTTCTGGGGCTTTAGCAATTTTACCTTATTAGTGGTAACCTTCTAGGACCTCACATTGAGACCCTGGAATATAAGCATAGGGAAGCATAATTTAAAATGCAGAGAAATCACACCACAGTCTCTATATACCAGTCTCAAATCCCAGCTCAGAAAGTCAAACTCTCTAGGCTGTTTACTCATCTGTAAATTGGGAATGTTGAAAGGATCAATGAGATAAGATTACTAACACAGTCAGCACGTGCCTGGTGCATAGAAGACAATATAAATAATAGGTTACGCCTTATCTATTCACCATCAGCCTCATCACCATTATTTCTGTCAAATCCTTTCTACAACAGACCTAAGGAGGGGGAAAATGCCCATTTGGGGCTTTACCTAAACATAAGAGCAATTTTCTCTTTTTCTTAAAAAGAAGATTGTTGTAAGCATAGACTTTCCCTCTGGTTTTATGACTTACTTCCCATCAGGCTACTGCCATCAATCAAAGGTATTGAAGGGCAGAGGGAAAAGATATTCTAACAAATATAAACAGATCTTGGAAGATAGATAAATAGATAAAGTAAATAGAATAAAACAGCAATAGTAGAATCTAGGTGGTGTTCAACTTTTCAATCTGTGTGACATTTTTCATGATACAATATTCATAGAAAAAAATACATTTCTATACTCATTCTACCAAAGAGACAACATTGAAGGACCCCTGCTAAAGAAAAACAGAGCTAATCTGGTAAGAAGGCTCTAGAAATAATTTCCCAAGATTCATGTTAGGCAAACTTTAAAACTTTTTTGAAAACTCAGACCCTTTCCTTCCCCAGGCCCTTATTAGGGTATACACAGAAAGAGAATCTTTCCAAGCAGCAGAACTGGGTTCTAACCCCAGCTCAGATACTCACTGGCTACAGATACTTTAATCTCTTTTCATCTCAGTAATTTCATCCTCAAAATAGCAATAATAATACATATCTCACAGCGATACTGTAAAGACTGGACATGTGTATATAAAGTGCTTCACTGATAACAGAGCCTCTGTAAATGCCCACCATTATAACATTTCAGTTACTGCAGCGGTCTCTGTAGAGGCACTCTGCATTTCTCTATGGGCTTCGGAGGTGGGCTTCTCCCATGAGCAATACTGCCAAGAGGGAGGAAGGCGGAGGAAGCATGGGGCCTCAGACCAGGACATCTCACAAACCAGCCACCCCTGACCTCCAAAGCTCCCAGACTCTAGAGCAAAATAACCCAAACAAATGAAATTGAGACAAGAAATTGGAATTCTGCCCTCCTTCTAACCCTTCTCTTGAGGGAGTCCCAATAAATGCACTTTGATTTTGATTAGAAAGCTCTGTTGTGCTTCCCTGCACCCTTGCTGTCCCCCATGCCCCATCCTAAACAGGGATGGCCTCTTATTAAAGACAATTGTGCTTTAATCTATGTACCAGAGCATGCTAATGATACTGTACTCAGTTTTAGTCTTTCGCCAAAGAGCAAACAGTGCCAATATTTTGTAGACTTCCAACAGGAAATTAAATAACTGCCCTGCTGGAAATATGAACCAATTTATGGTAGTCAAACTTGAATCTTCCAAAACACTGGCATGGTTTATGCATATCAAGCACTAGGAACAAACATTTGAGGACGGAGATGGGGAAAATTTTAAGTTAAAGCTCAACAACGTCTTCAAGAGAGACTTTGAAAATAGTTCTTTCTCTCCCTTTGCCCTGGCTATACACTTCTTGTAGATAAGAGACCACAGGGCGTTGACATCATGCTGCCCTGGGAAATATGAACTGCTGAAACCTCAGGCAGGGCAGCATTACAGCCACAAATTCAAAAGCACAAGCAGGCAGGAAACACAAAACTCCAGTTTCCTCCCAGAAGACACATTCCACATTCTACCCACGATGTTATAAAATACATATTTAGAAGGCATCCTATAACAGTAAAGCTTTCCTCTTATACGTACAGAGAAGGGTAAGGCTTTGAAAACTTTCTCTTAGAGCCTTCTCTTTGTTAAGCTCAGTGAGGTCAGGAACCATGTCTATCTTTCCCCTCTGTTGCAGTCCAGTGCCCAGCACAGTGCCTGGCACACAATAGGCACTCAGTAAAGAGAGCTCCTTCTATTATGATTATCACCACCACTTGCTGTGCAATTACCAGGGGTGCGGAACATTCCAGGATGACAGCTGAGAAAACACACCCCTGCCATCCACACAGACCTGTGTTAGAAAGCATCAAGGAAAATACCTACTATCGATTGGGCATCTGCAAGGTACTAAACAAGATACAAGGGGTTTTTGTTACATGACCACATGCAATCCTTACAACAAAGCCCATAAAACAGGTGCTCTTATTCTCATCTTGCAAATGAAGACACGGCTACTCAAGGAGGCTTCATAAGGTTCGTAAGACAAAGGCAGCACTTGAACCTGTCTCTTCTCCCTCAAAAACCTCAAGGTTTGTATCATTAGCCCATATACTGCAGACAAAGAAACTGAGGCCAAAGAAACCCATGCTGGTAAAACTCATTAAATCACTCTATTAGTACATTTTGACACTGCTGATAAAGACATAACCAAGACTGGAAAGAAAAAAGAGGTTTAATGGACTTACAGTTCCAAATGGCTAAGGAGGCCTCACAATTATGGCAGAAGGCAAAGAGGAACAAGTCACATCTTACAGGGATGGCAGCAGGCAAAGAGAGAGCTTGTGCAGGGAAACTCACATTTTTAAAACCATTGTATCTCATGAGACTTATTCACTGTCACGAGAACAGCACGGGAAAGAACCCCCCTCACCCCGCCATGATTCTGTTATCTCCCACCTGGTCCCTCCCACAACACGTGGGAGTTATGGGAGCTACAAGATGAGATTTGGGTGGGGACACAGAGCCAAACCAAATCAATCACTCTCCTCAGACTACGCCTTCTGAATCTAACTGAAGGCCCACTCTCCTTCAAGGGGCTGGTAAACACATTTCTCTGGTGATGGAACTGGTTTAAATGATTATATGAGCTAAAGGGTGAGAAGACTGTCTAGCGGCCACCAGTGGGCATAGAGCAAATGTTTGGTTGCTGTTAAAATAACGAATAAAGTGCAGCCTGTGGCCAGCTTCCAAGAGGGACTGCCGCTGTGGGTTCTACATGATCCCAAGATGAGTCATTGCTCTCTTCTGGTCACAGATGATGTGGCAGCCCCACTACCTCGGGCAGGTGACTGCAATGCATTTCCCCAATCCCTCCTAGGGTCCAGTTGAGGAATTCCCAAGAAGTTTTCCAAATGGGCAGGTCCCCCACCCCAGGACTGTCTGTGTTAGCAGGTCCTGGGCAGGACCTGGGTATATATAACTCGTGGCAGTTCCTCACGTGATTCCATACTCACCCCTGAATAAGAATGACTGGGATGGGGTCTCTCAAATTCATCCACACTATCAGAAAACCTCCCGCAGATCCATCATCACCACAGAGGATAGCCCTGAAGTCACCACACCAACTGATACAGTAAGTTCAGAAAAGGAATTGTTTTGAAAGGTTAAAGCATTTCACTACTGAAGGTGGTAATAATATTATTATTATTAGTTTCATCTTCATGCACAAGGAAGTATATTATTAGACCCAAATATTCTCCTTGTTTTCTTTCATGAATACTCAGGGGAAAAAAAAAAAAAAAAGAAAAAAGGAAAAGGAAAAAAAAAAATCCAGTCCTGTGTTTCACAGCACGTTAGTATATAAGGGTAGGCATTCTTTCCTTAATACAAAATTATAGTCCACCACCCAGAAACAAAAAGACAACCGAACTTCAAAAACAACAGAATTGCTTATCCCAAAATGTATATTTGAAGACTTAATGCTCTCAGATTAGCGTAATTACTGGTATCCCTCTGGTTCTGCTTTTCTCCATATCCAAAAAGTCTTCATCACTCGGAGACTCTCACCAACATTAATTAAAGAAATGGGCAAAACTCTAGAATGACCTGGGGGAACTAGGACTGCTGAGGGTCAGGTAGTCTCAGGCTAGCCAAAAGACCAACCACAAATCATAGTGCATTTGCAAAAACAAACACAGTCAGTAATAATACTCCAGTGCCCTTTTTTCCAAAGAGATCAAAGCTATAGGCAAAAAGTGAAGGCAATTCAGTGAAAGGAAAAGGACTGGCAGGAGAGAACTGGGCAAAGTAGATTCAAACTCCTAGAGGAATAGGAGGGAATTGAGGGGAATAGAGACACTCCACCAGAAGTACTAAGAGGCTATGAAAAGCACTGGCCACTGTCCTGGTCCCTTAGGCCAGGGGTCCCCTTCTGGTCCATGGCTTGTTAGGTACCTGGCTGTAGAGCAGGAGGTGAGCTGTGGGCAAGCGATTGAAGCTTCATCTGTGTTTATAGCTGCTCCCCATCACCTGCATTACCACCTGAGCTCCACCTCCTGTCAGTCCAGTGGTGGCATTAGATTCTCATAACAGCGAACCCTATTGTGAACTGTGCACGCAAGGGATATAGTTGTGTGCTCCTTATGAGAATCTAATGCCTGATGATCTGTCACTATCTCCCATCACCACCAGATGGGTCCATCTAGTTGAAGGAAAACAAGCTCAGGGCTCCCACTGATTCTACATTATGGTGTGTTATGTAATTATTTCATTATATATTGCAATGTAATAATAAGAGAAATAAAGTACACAATAAACGTAATGTGCTTGAATCATCTGCAAACCACCACCTGCTCCCCTGTCTGTGGAAGAAGTGTCTTCCATAAAACTGGTTCCTGGTGCTAGAAAGGTTGGGGACCGCTGCCATAGGCAGCCTGAATAGCCACATTAAAAGGGCTGCCTGAAATCATATGCAACACATCAAGAAAGGAGTATGTGCAAGAGCTGAGGAAGCTGCTTTAACGGGTTGCTCCGGTCTAAGATTTTGATGAATGACTTTACTTTTCTGGTTGCCCGAGGGCACAGAAGGTGCCCATGTCTCTCTAGAGTTCCAGGTCAACTTCTTCCATGGAAACAAAAAAAGAAGGGCATTTCTGACCCTGGCCTGATTCAAGCAGGCCCCAGAGCAGCTGCCTGACTCCCAAAAGCTAAAATGTTCACCGAAACTATTTGGGTTTGCTACCTCAGTCATCCAAAACAGCATGCAAAATAATAGGTCAGATGTAAAACC